AGGAACTAATAGGCCTGATAAAGCATACTAAAATTCCCATCATTTGTATGTGCAATGACAGAAATCACCCCAAAATTCGCTCTTTGGTTCATTATTGTTTTGATCTTCGTTTCCAAAGACCTCGGGTTGAACAGATTAAGGTATGATGATTGTCATTAAAAAACAACGAAAACAACAGATTTATTTGGTGCGTGTCCCTGCGTGTCCAAGAGCACACACTTGTGAGCTCATGCATGTGCAGTAGCGTGTGTGTGGGGGTCAGAGGGCACCCTTTGTCTGTTAGTTCTCTCCTGTACCATGCAGGTTCTGGGGCCGGTCTCAGGCAGCAGGCGGGATGGAAGTGCCTTTACCCTCTGAGCTAGCCTGCTAGCTGTCTTCGGGTTCCCATTGCTGTGATGAAACTCCATGACCCAGCGCAACTTGGGGAGGAAAGGGTTTTTTTGGCTCACATCACTGTTCGCCACAGAAGGAAGTCAGGAACTCAAACAGAGGCAGGAGCTGATGCAGAGGCTATGGAGGGGTCCTGCTTATTGGCTTGCTCAGTCTGCTTTCTTATAGAAACCAGGACCACCAGCCCAAGGATGGCACTACCCATAGTGGGCTAAGCCCTCCACATCGATCACTAATTAAGAAAGTGCCCTGCAGGTGCCTGATCTTATGGAGGCATTTTCTCAATCCCCTTTCCTCTTCTTGGATGACTGTAGCTTCTGTCAGGTTGATATAAAACTAGCCAGCACACTGGCCCAGAATTTCTTTTTTAAATGACATTATCATCTTTATAGAAAGGTTGATTTTAACTTTAGACAATGTCATATTGTAGCCAATGAGTTTATCCAAGGTGTGTTGATTGCCAAATGAAACCTCAAGGGTCAGTTTTTGTTTTTTGGTTTTTTGAGACAGGGTTTCTCTGTGTAACAGTCCTGGCTGTCCTGGAACTCACCCTGTAGACCAGGCTGGCCTCAAACTCACAGAGATCCACCTGGCTCTGCCTCCCAAGTGCTGGAATTAAAGGCGTGCGCCACCACTGGCTGGCTCAAGGGTCAAATTTTAAAAGTATCTCATAAATATTTTTATAGAATTGCAGATGCTATTAGTTAAAAAAAAAAGAAAAAGGTCAATGATAATTTCCTTGCTTGTCAATTTCAGAGTGCAATGCTGTCTATTGCATTTAAAGAGGGTTTAAAGATCCCTCCTCCAGCTATGAATGAAATAATTTTGGGAGCTAATCAAGATGTCAGACAGGTGAGTCAGATATATACTACGTGACAGCTGTTACTTTCTGAAATTTGATTTTATTATTTCTGTGCATAGGTATTTTGCCTGCATGCATGTCTGCACTGTGGGCCAGTATTGGCAGAGGCCAGAAGCGGGCATTCGAATCCTTGGAAATGGAGTTACAGGTGGCTGTGCGCTGCTGCCATGTGGGTGCTGGGAGAGCAGCCAGTGCTCTTAACTGCGGAGCCGTCTCTCCAGCTCTTGACAGCTGTGAATTCTTTTGCCCCCTCATTCTTAGGAGACCAGCAGCCCTTCCTCGTCCTGACATTGTCTCACTGACCTTTCTTGTAGGTTTTACATAATATGAGCATGTGGTGTGCACAGAGCAAGGCACTGACTTACGACCAAGCCAAGGCTGACTCTCAGAGGGCCAAGAAGGACATCAAACTGG